CTAATTGCAGTACATTTATTTGGAAAGGGATTGGCCAGTACTGTAAAGATATAGTAATCTAAATTCAGATTTTGGAAAACCTGCATCAATTCTGTTACAACCTTATATTGGGATCAAAGCGAACACGAAGCCGTGGAACTATTTTCTTCACCGTGGCGCGCTGAGCACCGACGAGAATTTCTATTTTAGCTCTGCCACTCTAGCCTTGGATGGCGCTCTGCTTTTTATGTACATGCAACGTTTGGATTGCTCATGTTCATTCTATGGATCATATTTTACCGTGACGATCCACAGCTGCATTCATGTGTTAGCGGCAAAGAGCTCTCAAAGATTCAACAGAACAAGACACGAGCTCATATAGAGAGGGATAGCTTTTTACCGTATAAGGTAACCCAGTATTTAACAAAAAGCTTAGCAATTGCCCAACTTTGCCCAATACCTTTTAGGAAATTATTACAAATAAAGTTATTCTAATAATTTGGTTCAACGCTTTCACGGAAATGACTACAGTTACATTACTTTTGGTGTATGCTCCCACATACTTCCACAAAGTTCTAGGATATGACATTCCGACAACAGGAAAGTTTGGGATTCTTAGTCAATCAAATGAAGCTTTGAATTGTTTCGGATTTTAGGTGTTCTTGTATCAATAACTGCTAGCACTCACATTCCGCTTAAAATTATTGGGGGACTTATCAGTGACAGAGTAAGGTACAATCATTGTCACCTGCAGAAAGAGCATATATTCTCCACTTTTCAGGATTTTCGACGAGCGATATAAAATGTGGTTCTTCAATTCGATCTCTGTAGGACTAGCGGGAGTTTGTTGCACCTTAATCGGAGTCTTTTCCTCCGAATGGCCTCAAACTGGTGTAACTCTCTTCACGTTAGTAATCACATGTATGGGATTTAATCCTGGTGGCTTCTATAAATGTGGAACACTTCACTCAAGGTACTTGCAAAAAATTATTTGTTTATGGATACAGGAAACTTTTATTGATCTAACTTATACTAGCGACTATTATACCGTAGTCGATTCAGGCAGTATGCTCATTTCGTGTTGGCTGCCATACAATTCATGAAATGTGTTGCCATGTTTGTTGCTCCCGGAACAGTCGCCTTGTTTGTTAGAGACGAAAGGCGTTATGAACAGTGGCGATATGTGTATTGGATCAACGGGATCCTTTTAATCATAGTGAGTACTGTTCAACGATATAAGCAGTTTGAACGAGACGGATGCGAACCTAATTTATCATATTGACTGACTTTTTGCAACTTCTTTACTGCATGCCCCACTCAAAAAGCACGTCAAATTTGTGCTAATGCCTACAATGTCGCATTCAAACACTACTAATCCAAATTTTCCGAAATAAATATGGCAACAAATGAAAACTTAATG